TTCCAGTTTTATCATTTGGACAGAAGATTGGTCCCACGCCAAATAGATCCTAATGCATATATAATCCCCCATTCATAAAATATATAGCTTTAATGCGTACTTAAAACTACAAAAAGAGCAATACATTTCGACATCAACAAGTCCTTAGATACTAAGATCTCTGGGTCAAATTTCATGAGGATCAAGTCCATATTGTATTAAGACCCCTTTCAGAAAATGATTTCAACTTTTTTTTAAATTCTCTAAGAATTCTTTTTTAAATTCACTTCCCAAAATCCTATGCCGGAAGTCAAACAAATTTGCATATAGAGTTTTTTGTGTAGAAAATTTATCAACACCGATATATTCACATACTAACTTTCCACACAATCTATATATATTAAAGAGTAGCGTTACTGACTGACTGATTCATCATCGCACAGCCCAAACGGCTGAACCTAGAATCATGAAATTTTGACAGTAGATGTGTTTTTGGATATATATTTCCATTTTTGGATTTTTGGAAATTTATACATTTAGGGGTAAAAAAGGGGAAAAACGGGTAAAACAGGAATTCTTAATTATCTTACCTAATATTAGTGATACAAGAAAAATTTTAAATGCACATGTATCTACTTTTAAAATAAGCAGATGGGTGTCTGGTACTTTTTTGAAATTCATACTTATAAGGGGTGAAAATGTGTAACAAAAGTGATTTTGGTACCTTTTTTGGCCCTTTATAACTTTTTAACTAATAAACAAAATACAATTTTTGTAAATATTTTAAATATATCTCAAAAATTATTAGACACCTGTTTCGTACTTTTTTAAAATTCAGCCCTTTTTGGGTGTAAAAGGGAGAAAACTGTATTTTTGGTACTTTTTTTAGCACATTATAGAAACTTTTTCAATTTATTCAAGAGTTCCTATTAAATTACGGACTAACTCTGTAATATTTGTTGAAACAAAATATTTGCTATTTCACTGGGGAAAAAAGTACCAAAAAGGGGAAAAAAGTGAAATTTAATTTTATTCAAACTCATTGAGCCAATTTTTATAAAATTTGAAAAAGTAGTTTATTTACTCACACAAAATAAGCTATTGGTATATTATTTTGGAATTCGAGTACTAAGGCCTATAAAGGACCAAATTCGAGTAAATTGATTAGCGGTTAAAGCGCTTTTAGGGGCAGGACCTAGTATGAGAGATATGACCAAATATAGACCGATCGTAAAAAATTCTTTAAGCTAAATTTCTGTACATAAAAGTTATATTTTAGTCAAATTTTGTATCTATATCGTAATTTAGTAATAAGTAATGTGTGTTTTAGTAATTTTCTGAAGGGAATCTTGTTATGAACCTATCGTGAAAAAATCTTGAAATATAATTTCTGTATACAAAACCATTATTTGTGCCAAATTTTGTATCAATAGCTTTATTTGGTAATGAGTAATGTGCGTTTAAGAGATTTTCGTAAAAGAACCTTGTATGGGAGCTATGACCAATTATGTATATAAAGACAAATTTTCAAAACTCTGTGTCTATATCATTATTTGGTAATGAATATTGTGCATTTAAGTGATTTTCTGGAGGGGACCTAATATGAGAGCTATGACCAAATATGGACCGATCGTAAACCAATTTTATAATGTAATTTATGTATATAAGAGCAATATTTTTACTAAATGTATGGATATCAAGATTTGGTAATGAGTTATGTGCGTTTAAGTGATTTTCGGGAGGGAACCTTGTATGGGAGCAATGACCAAGGATGGACCAATCGTGAAAAAATTTTTAAATAATATTTATGTGTTTTTTGCATTACAAAAATAGTATTTATTTATATCATAATTTGGTAATGAGTTATGTGCCTTTAAGTGTTTTTCTGAAAGGGACCTTGTATAGCAGCTATGATCAATTATGGATCGATAGGAAAATAATTTCACAGTAATATTTCTCTGTATATGAGCAATACTTGTACCAAATTTTATATGGATATCTTAATTTAGTAATAAATTATGTGCATTTTCCGGAGGGGACCTTGTATGGGAGCTATGACCAATTATGGACCGATCGGAAATAAATTCCACAGTAATATTTTTGTGCATATGAGCAATACTTGTACCAAATTTTATAAGGATATCTTAATTAAGTAATGTGTTATGCGCTTTTAAGTGCTTTTCGGGAGTGGACCTTGTAAGGGAGCTATGACCAATTATGGACCGATCCCAAAAAAACTTCCACAGTAATATTTCTGTGCATATGAGTAATACCTGTACCAAATTTTATATGGATATCTTAATTCTGTTTTCGGGAGGGGACCTTGTATGGGAGCTATGACCAATTTTGGACCGATCGGAAAAAACTTTCACAGTAATATTTCTATGCATATGGGCAATACTTGTACCAAATTGTATATGGATATCTTAATTTAGTAATGAGGTATGTGCGTATAAGTGATTTTCGGGAGGGGACCTTGTATGGGAGCTATGACCAATTAGGGACCGATCGAAAAAAACTTTCACAGTAATATTTCTATGCACATGAGTAATACTTGTACCAATTTTATATGGATATCTTAATTTAGTAATGAGTTATGCGCGTTTAAGTGATTTTCGGGAGGGGACCTTGTATGGGAGCTATGGCCAATTTTGGACCGATCGGAAAAAAATTTCACAGCAATATTTCTATGCATATGAGTAATACTTATACCAAATTTTATATGGATATTTTAATTTAGTAATGAGTTATGCGCATTAAAGTGATTTTCCGGAGGGGACATTTTATGGGAGCTATGTCCAATTATGGACCGATCCAGAATATTTTTTCTCTGAAAGAATTCTATTGACATAAGATTTTAATTTGTAAAATTTTGTGAAGGTATCAACATTCTGACGGAAGTTATTAACAAAAAACTCATTTTCCGGGAATATGTACTTTTGTATGGGAGGTATATGAAATTGTGAACCGATTCTGGCAATTTTCAGCAGGGATCAAGCTCTTGTGTAGAAACGAATGTATGGTATGGTTTTCTAGAAAATTACATCAGAATGTGTAAAAAATGCTTATTTTTTTCGAGGTTGTTTTAAATTTTGATTCATAACTTTTCCCGGTGTGAACCGACTCAGAATTTGATAAGGACCCAGAATATATAAACTTTGTTGGGTCTCAGATGAATATTTCTTGGTGTTACACACGGAATGACAAAGTTATATATACCCTCTATCACCACTGATGGTGGTGGAGGGTATAAAAAGTATATTTCTAAGCGAAAAGAGGAAAAATTGTACTATTTTTATTAGTACTTTCCACTAAGGTAGAATTTATTCCACTTTTGGTACTTTTTCTCTCTTCAAATGATACTCTGTATGTTTTATAATATGAATTCAAAACACATGATTATTAAACATACACGGTCCTCATTGAAGATTCTTTAAGAGAGTACTTTTTATCTCATAAATGGTACTTTTTGAATTTTCCAAAATATTCAACATAGGAATATAAATTTTAACGTACATGGTCTTGACTGAATAATATTCTGTAAGTGGGTACTTTTTGGTACTTTTCCATTATTCAAATGGTACCTTTTGTTTTCTCTATTATGGTAAACCGGAAAACATCCTTATTAAATGAGAATTTATTGAGAGAGATTTTTGTACTTTTTCGTTTTTCCGATGGTACTTTTTGATATTTTTACGATATTGAACATAGAAATATAAAATTTAAAATGACAAACTACTGAAAGGGACTTTTGGTACATTTTCAATCAGTCAAATTATATTTTTTGAATTGTCTATAATAATGAACACAGAAACATATAACTTTTGATTAAATAAGAGGTATTTTATAGTACTTTTTTTAAAAATTTAGTAATTTTGAAATTTTCTATATGTGGAAGCTAAACGAATGAAACTAAAAATACAAGCTTCTTCCTGAATGCGAATTTATTCACGTAATATTGAACGTAAAAAACTGAAACATTAAAAAATTTTTAAATCAATTTTAATTTTCTATAAAAGTAAACAAAATTTTGTATGTATTTAATTTTGATTAGGGTAGCGAAGCACCCAGGGTATGCTAGTTTTTAATCATAAATGTATACATGTGTTTGTTTTTAAGCTTTTATATTTAAAATACACTAAAGTCTTATCAGCAGTTAGGTACTTTTTAAAAATAACTTGTACTTGGATCTTATTAGGATGCTACAAAAACTACCTTATATGAGGTTTATATCCAATATGGCCCGATCCATATAAAATTTGAGGGGAAAGATTTTAGTTCATATAATATCAGTTTATATCGAATTCCATCGCTATACTGATATTCTTAAACCAGTTATGGAGATTAAAGTCATTTTAGAAGGTGGACTTTATATGGGTGGATGGGAGCAATGATGGAAAAAAATTGACAGGGGAATTTCCTAGTTGCTATAAAACTTGTTTATTGCTGATATTATATAGCAAATTATAAGCGTTAAAGTATTTTTTGGGTTTGTAGGGTTAAATATGGACCGATCCATAGTGGTATAGAAATAAGGAACGGGGAAATAATTCTGTAACTTTTAAATGGTCAGTTAAGAATCGATTCTCCTCAAATGTTACAAAAACATTTTGACTCTTATCAAACTAGTTTGTACCGAATTTCAACGTTACGATTGCAGTTTTAAGGGCGTTAAAGTAATACTCTGAAGAGGACCTTATATGGAGGATAGGTGAAATCTATTTTGGACCTATGTTGGCCATTTTCAATATCAAACAAACTACATCAACTAAAAGTTCAGTTCTCTTACTCGTTCCGTTTGGACTCTATTGTGTTTTTAACATACAGACAGACCCAGAATAATATATATTTAAATGGGTCTTAGACCCAGAATAACAAGATTCAACCTTTTTGATGATGTTTTAGAAAATATTTCATAAAAATCGGTAAATAATTGATTTGTATATATATTACTTATATCTGGACGATATAAATTGTTCCATGCTAATGTTAAGAGTGTGTATAAATAATCAAAGTCGAATTTTTAAGAATCAGTTTTGAAAAGAGTTTCATAAAAGCAACAAATCAAAAATGAGCTTTATTTTTCTTTGTGAAATAATTATGTTTATATTTATTTTTAAAATAAATAAAATCACTTCCATTGGCCAAATGTACAACACAGTCGAAAATAAACAATATTATGTGAACCAAGATAAAGAGGTTAGTTAAATATAACTTGTTAAAATATTGTTTTTCAAATGATCATTTAAATATTGTCATTTTAGTATACTTTTGATAATAGTATAATTGAATGTTTAAAACTGAACATGACATTGGTCACAATTGAGACAATAGCGGAGGAGAAGGCGTTAGGTGAAATGTTATTAAATAAAACTATATTTCCACATATGCCTAGATTATGGATTGGTGGTCTTAGGATACCAGAAACACGTACCTATATATGGATTTCTATAGGTAAACCATTCGGTAACTGGTATCGTGGAATTCCAGATTATGACAAAGACTGTGTTTTTATTGGCTGGAGTGATCAATATCAATGGACTGATGGTACTTGTTCGAATAAACGTGGATATATATGCGAACATCAGAGTGAGAGAAAATTACAAGAAGACCACGAAAAGTTAAAGGAAAACTTAAAAATGGAAATTCAAAAACGAGAAAATTTACAACTGCAATTAAACAATGAAAAAGAGTTATCAACAAACCTCAAGGAACAGTTACAACAAATCAAGACGATGGAAGAAAAACGAAATCAAGCATTTGAAATACAAACACAAAACAAACAACTAGAACAACAATTACAAAATGGTGAACCGAAATTAGTGCCAGTGCTAAAGAATCAACTGCAAGAATATCAGCAATTAATTGAACAGAACGAATATAAAAAGCATAAATATTTTGATCTTATGTTTCCAAATATACAAAATGCTTATTTTCTGAATAATATACATTAAATTTGACTGTTTTTAATAATATTGAACGATTAATTTAAATAAATATTTGAGCACTCAAGTGAATAAAACATTTATTTAATTCATAATATTAATGAAAAAGGTAAATAAGAGTTATATGTACATATGTTACAAAAAAGTCTCTTTTTAGTTCTTTTTTAAATTTTACAGTTTTTTCTTAAACAAAATACATTAATTTTATTTATATTAATGACCTAACAATTTTTAATTTTTTAAAATATAACAATTATGAGCTAACGCTTATTTATGATTAATACATCATTGGACGCGGCTTTAAAACCCCTTCCAAACGATACCCCATATTGGATATATTGTTTCAAAACAAAACTAAAA